GGTGGTGTAGAGAAAATAGGGGCAAGATGGTCATTAGTGAAGGATAAGTGAGAACATGATGTCAAGTTCATTATTACGTGTCTAAGAGGGAAAGTTTGGTATAAGGAAAGGTTGGGAGAGTTTATACAATCATTTTGTGCAATCGTAGAATTGGAAGAACATTGTGGGGAAAAGAGACCTAGGGCACAAAGAGGCAAGGAGAAGCATAGGAATCTCAGTAGAGCATAAAAAGGATTTTATTGCTAGCAATAATCTCAAGGTAAGAGGTGTTTATCTTGATTATTATAATCAATTTAAGGTTTAGATAGATGTAGATTTTGATGGGTTTTAGTTGTGATGAATATGTGATGATAAGATGAATTAGACAATGTTTTATGGTCTTGGGTTGTAAACAAATTGTACCCATAATGTAGAATCCATTGGATTGTTTTTATTTGGTGAAAACATTGTGATTAGATGATGTTTTAGGGCCTATAATATACATAAATCGCAAGATTGTGACTGTTTTTTATGTAGGAAAACCCTGTTCGTGCTGTGTTGCTAGGCGATGGAGAAGCGCCGATGGGCGATGGTGTTGTCGTGTGGCCGTCGCTAGGCGAAAATGGGAGCGACAAAGGGAAGAAAAGAGTGACGCTACTGGAGTGCATCGCTCGAAGAGTCGTCAGGTGAAGCAAGTGGCGATGGAAGCGTTGTCAGGTGATGGAAGTATGACATCAAACGATGGTGTCAAGATTTGATTGGTTCTGATGGATTTTCTTAAAAGAGTCGTAACTCGAGTTTTAGGACTCAGATTGAGGTGTCGTTCGAAGAATTGGATAGCTAGCGCAATGAACTTTAGTTAGATGGAATAAAATGAGATAAAAGAAGTATTTTCCCAATATCTAAACTAGGATAAAGTTAGATTCCCTGTGTTGGATTATAATGATGCTTTGTTTATTTAAGATGATATAATGATGATGTTTATTCATTTAAGATGATATGATAATGATGATGCTTGATTTATTTAAGATGATATGATGATATTATGTTGATGATTATTTACTTGAGATGATATTATGATGAAATCATGAATGATGGTGTGTTTTAACTAGTCATGGTCATTTTTATTATGTTGTTGCGCATCATGCATTCATGACATATTTTAGGACTTCGGTCCAGGGATGTTAGGACTTCGGTCTAGTGAAGTTAGGACTTCGGTCCAGTGAAGATGATAGGACAATTGTCTAGTGAAGGCATCAATTTCATAGTATGAATTGAGTGCAAAATTGTGAAGTGCTATGGTTCCAAGCGAGAATCGATCCTATTGGTTGGGATGTTTGGAGATAACGATGATTAGGTCATCAGTGAAGTTTTGGTACCACTTGTACGAGTCTAAATTGATGCATTAATATTTATGTGACATTTCATAATAATGAGATTAAATGGTATTTATTGATAAATGGTATTTTAATAATATGTTGGTTTGAATTGATGACGTTTGTGAATGTGTGAGTATAACATGAAATTCTTATGATGTTTGGTGTCTTTCCTATGTGCATGTCTACTATATTTATACCTTATGTATTTTATAATAATTATGATTTACTCACCCTTTCTGTTTAAATGTTTCCACCACGTGGGTAATGCGCATGTGATCGATAATAGTTTGTAGAAGCATTAGAGGATAGCTTTGGAGTGTGTTTATTTGCTTTTGTTGAATAAAGTGAGTCTTGCTCTGATATGTAACATCGGCGTTATGATCGATTGTTTGTGAACTTTGCATATTTTACTATTTTAAGTTTTTGTATTTCTATCATGACTTTTGCCATGTTTTAGGCTATGATGTTATAAACATGAAGTGTGATGATGTTAATGATATTTGAACTACCTTTCGTAGTAGTTGGGATTTTTTTATGTAGAAGATATGATTCATTATTTCCGCTGCGAAGTTTGAAGTGAATTGTTTGTGGTTACTAGAGATTATAATCAATGGGTTCTTTGCAACCCGTGTTACAGAGCAGGATTTAGTTTTTATTTGATGTTCTATAAAGATGTGATTCCCTTCTGTGGTCTTTATTTGATTTAATTTTTCGAAAAATTATAAGCGAAATATATGTGGGTTAGAAGGGTGTTACATATGCAGATGAATCAAAAAGCTATGAGCCAGATAAATTGAATGAGGTGTAGGGAAAATTTGGGGTATGACAGTAATGTTTTTTGAACACTAGAAAATTGACATTGTATTTGACATTGAGGGGTATGGCAAATTTAGGGTATGACAATAGTGTTATTTTTCATGCCCCGACCTTTACCTCGAGTGTTTCTTCCTTTATCACGATAGTAGTGCTGACCATTATTGTGAGAGAAGCCATTTATGGCACCTTCAGAGCTAGTATATGCTTGAGCACTTTTGGCAGCCGCATTTGGTGTGACCAATTTTTGTTTATACTTATCCAAATGTGCTTCTTGGACATAGAGCAGTGCTTCAAAATCATAGATGTTTGTAGGTTCACCTATGTTATATACCATTATGAATAATGAATTATATTCTTCAGGCAACCCTTGCAAAATTGCATCATCTTGATTCCTCTCAGAGATGGGATCACCAACTGCAAGAAGTGGGTCAGCAATAGCACGAATACATAACACATGCTCAGAAATGGACTTTTAGCCTTTCTTGCTCATTTTGAATTTTACACGCAGCTGATGCACTCGTGCTTTCATCTGTGAGTTCAAATGTTTGTGAACCTTATTCCAAATCTCATGTGCATGTTTACAAGAGATAAGTCGAGGAAGAACATCTTCAGATATGATTGAGAGCAACCATGTAAACAGGGCTTGATCTTGAACAACCCGTGCCTCATACTTCTCAGAGACAACATTGGAAATTCTATCACTATTGGAGATGAACATAGGTGGTATATGTGGATTTACCACAACTCTTTTAAGTTTGTGTGATAGTATAACTCCCTCCACTTGTTGATTCCATAGCAAGAAGTTCTTTTCTTGGAGTTAAATGGAAATTTTAGGTGCAAAAGTGTTCGAGATACCTGAGAACACATGTTGAGTTGGTGCACTGTGTGAGTCTTGGTGCGATGAGTTTGGTGATTTGTCAATATCCTCCATGGTTGGTGTTTCTCTGAAACTTCAAGATGCAGACTGGAAAGACGAAGATCAATGTTAGCTTCTCCAAAGTTGTTGAACCGCCAACTCTGAGATGCGAGTTATTATCGTTGAAACTCACGCAAGTAACGCTTCTCTGAAGCTTCCAAGGATCAACAATAGTGATTAATCATCCCAAGGTTGAAGAAGATGCAGCGGAATATGGCCCTTTTGAGGAGGATGATACCATATTAAAAGAAGTATAATGAATATGGAATAGCTCTATGCAAGCTTTGCTTGCATGCTTCATTAATTGATCCATACAAGAGAGTACCTACAACTATATATACACATGCATAGCTTGAGTTTGTTGTAAATAACTTGAGAGTTAGTTATTCTCTTTAACCACCTAGCTATGCTAACCTACACAAGAGATATCATGGTCATGCATACTTATCATGTACAGTTACATGACCTTCATTTGATACCTAAAGATACACCACATGAATGAAAATATACTAGTAAATTATATAAATTTAATATGCACAACAATAAAACTTATTAATAAGAGATAATTTACACAAAGTTAATTTTTTTTATATATATGTTCATTGAGAAAATGAATTTTCTACAAAAAATTTTTTTTGAAAGTAAAGTCGAAACTATTTATTAATAAAAAAATTATCAATGATAAAAAATAAAGAAAAGAGCACTAACGATGTACTAAATCCAAAAAAATCACCATAAGTAGGGACATTCCAGGCCAACAAGAAAATAGTACAAAAAAGGCAACCACGCAATCATAAACCAAGAAGGAGAAACTATAAACTAAAAATCAAACCACTAAATTGCAACCACAGATAAGAAAAAACCAATCATTCATCAATTCGATCTAATAACTAAACACAAGCACATGAGACCTTCGAAGGAAGCAAGTTGGAGGAAGGTGAACTTGAACACTTGGCACAATAAAAAGAGGGCAATTGACTACCTAACACACTCTTAAATACTCAAGCACTTAAGCAGGTCCCTCTCTTAGTCAAATAAAGAAATGACAAAACGCGTAACATGAACTTAAATCCACTTTCACGCTAAATTAATAATAGAAAACACAATGATTAACCAATAAATAAACCTACCTAAACATAACTTTATTCCTCATATTTTAAATAAGTTCAAACCTCACAAAGTCGTATCGAAACCAAACTTATAAACCCAACCCCTACCCTAAACCCAAAAACAACTAGTACACCCCTATAGTTAAATAGTGACTAAAGTCAAATAATATCATACAAATTCTAACCATCTATTTTAATTATTAAATTATTATATTTTTTAATTATTTATTTATCATAGAATCTAAGCTTTTGAAATTTAATCAATAAGTTACAAATAGTGAATACATGACTCCCCTTATGGCAGGGGATCAGGTCCGTCCATTATAGTACTATGACTATGAGTGCAAGAGGGTTAAGAAATCGACATTAACCACAATTTTTTCTTTTTGCGAAGTAACCACAATTTTTTTCAACATACAATTTTCAACCCACTTTATTTTATTAGTCAAATTCATATATCAACTTTTTTAAAATCCATATAATTTGTTTATTTTCTTCTATATAGATTAAAATACAATTCCTCAAATCTATTACCATTCTCTTTTTTTCCATTATTATACTCCTTCCTCGTGGGAAAGTCAAATAACTCCTACACATACATTGAAAAGTGAAACTTTTAAGTGAGTGTAATTACTTTTTCAAAAACGCTTAATTATTAATCTACTTTTTCTTAATGGATAATTACACTAGAATCCGTTTATATACCCCAATCTCCATCTTCTCATTTCACAAACCATATCAAAACATATCTTTCAAACCTCTTTCTCTCTCTATATCAAACTCATCAAAACCGTTACAACAATGGACATTGAAAAGAACCAACAATTGGTAGCAAAAAAACTATGGAAAACACTTCGCATAGTTTTGTTCATGTTAACAAAAGGAATAGCCAAAAGCAAAATGGTAGCAGAATTAAATCTCTTGCTAAAACGCGGCAAAGTCGCCGCCGTTAAAGCCATTGCCAACACTCTCACTCTCCGCCACCATTCCACCGCCGCCTCGTTCGTGTCGCCTCACGACTACGAATTCAGTTGCAGCAACAGCCCCGCCGTAGTTAAATTCCACCGGAAAATTAAAAACCACCACCACCCGAACAATTTTTCGACCGTTCAAAAGGTTTTAGAGATTCTCAATGACGTTGATACTTCTTCTTTTTCTTCTCCTTCTCCGTTGGTCACATTTCCTGAATTCGGAAAAAGTCCTATTGGAAATAAAATCAGAATCACGGATTCGCCGTTTCCTTTGAAGGAAGAAGAAGGAGACGATCATAGCCATGTTGATGTTGCAGCTGAAGAGTTTATTAAAAGGTTTTATAGAAATCTCAATTTGCAACAAAAATTGGCAGCGATTCAATCACCTTACAACAACTCCCGCGATAGATAGAACATTTATCGATTGGTCCAGTTAAATTTCGACGATTGAATTCAACTGATCTGATCATCAGATTTAATTCAACGACTTAGATTTAACTGGACTTATAATCGAAAAAACAAAATACACTTGATTTAGTTTTATTCCAACTTTTTATTTTATTTTGTGATATGTATAAGCATCTTTTACATTTTACTACTTGGTCAAGTAAAAAGTCACATGAATATGATATCATGTGATTTTGTTTACTATGATGTTGTGGTTTTTTATTTTGCCCCCTCTTGAGTCATGGATTTTCAAGATGGAGAGGTGTTGTTGGTGCTTATGGTGTTGGTTTTTTTTTCTTCTAATAGGATAGAATGTTAAAGTAACACTATGGTTTTGGTGTTATGTAAAGCTCTGTTTTTATTTTATAAATATCATATATTTGTATATATTTTTTCCATTTTCTTGAGTTGATATTACTAAAGTTTTTGATTTATCAATTAAGGTTGAATATAGAAAAAAAAACAATTAAATTTGTGCAACTTCGATTGGGAGAATTTAAAAAAAAAAAAATTTATCCGTCTAATATCTTAGTAAAATAATCTTAAACCGAATCAAACAAAACGTATTCTAAGATTTAAGTTTGATGTTAGTTTAACTAATTTTAAAACGTAAGTTATTTGATAGGAATTAACGACTTAAAATATGTGATTTTGAGAATTTTAAGTTTTTTTAGCTGCGTGTAATTTTAAATTTAAAATTTTATAATTATAATGTAACATTTTCAATGTTACTATTATTACTGATAGGTAGTTATAATTAGGGATGAAATAGATCAACTTTATTTTTTAATCTATAACGTAATTTATAAATCGGACATATTTTGTTTAATAAAAAAATTAAATTTAAATTTTAATAAATAAATGAATTATTAGAACAGCATATAAAGTTTGACAAGACAACTTATATATGTATGTATTTATAAAAGAAATTGTTAAACAATATATAAAAGATATTTGCAAGTAGGTAAAATAGATTATTTAAAAATGTTAATGTAAAACATTTTGTTAAATATGTTTTAAGGTTATACGTTAAGTTTAGTTCTACCAAACTAAAAGAATTTTACAGTAGAATATTATAGGCCAAACTGAAATATTAAAAACTTTCTGTTGTATATTTTTATTGTATATAAGACTCAAACCTTTTTTTTTATAAAAATTTGGTATGATCCATTATTAAAAATATGACATTTAATTAAAAAAATTTACATCAGATTTCGAAATATATGATGTGAAAAATATTTGTTAAATGATTTTATATCAGACATTTATTTTCATATCTGATTTAGATTTTCCGCAATGTAAAAAGTATATTGATGGAAAATATACAATACGGTGGTAGTATCGTAAATAAAATAAAATTTTGTTATAACAGACATTTACATTTGTTCATGTCCCCAACCGATATAACTGTTATAGTCATGTGGACCTTTACATAGGTCCATCTCTCCAATAGATGTGAAATCTATTTTTCATTTTTCACAAAAATCCATTTCGTTTCCAAACTCATTTTCTGTAAAATGTGTTTCCCGCACTAGTGATCTTGTCTATATTCACTCTTAATTATGAAATTTGATCAATAAATACAAGTGATTAGTATTAGTTGAAAGCTTTAATTTACACTAAGTTTTAGATAATAATAAAAAATACAAAAAAGAAAGAAAAAAAAAACATTATGTGTGATTTGTCCTTATCTTATGGTTATGAATTTCTTGGCTACCAATAAAAGATACAAATAACGCCAATTATTTCTTCTTTCCAAAACAAAGTGGAGATTAAAGCATGAAAACGATAAATGTGTTTTATGTGGGGTTGTTAAACATAACCATAGACATATGAAGGTACAACTTTTTATTATTGGTGAGTTGGAATTTGTTTTTATTACAACTTTTAAATGCTTCTTGTCTATTGATTGGTCCCTCTAAATTATGATAGTGGTTACAGTTTTAAGCTACTGTTCCATTTACACAATTGAAACATACTTCATTCAAACCTGAACTCAATTAAATTTGATTTAAAGTTACCGATACATTTTTTTAAACGTATAAATTTATACGCTATAAACTATAAATTTAAAAAATAACATTATATTTTGTTTCAATCATGAGAAAATGTGTGAGTTTCTTAATTTGTTGAACAACAGTTTGAGTCCAAAAAGGTTCGGTTATTCACAATCATTATAACGATTGAGTGCTATATAGCTATGTTTGACTTCAAAATTATTTCAGTTGAAAATTGTACTGTAGTATCATTACAAAGATCATAAGACAGTGACTTTATCTTGTTAGAAAATAGTACACTCATTTTATATTTATGAGCAAAAAAACATTGATTTTATAGTAATTAAAATTGTTGTTTACACAAATGACTTCATTCTCTAAAAATATATGGGGTATTATATGGGATATCAAAATCACTCATTTTTTATCTATTATAAGACGAAAGCATATTTGTTACCTTTAAGGCGCCAAAGGCAGCATGTCATTTGGTTAATTTTCCTTACTTTCGAAGAAAGAGAATTCAAAAGAGAAAATGCAGGAAAATAAAAATTGAGATGAGAGAGACTACTAGGCAGAGAGAGACTTAAAGACACAATGTCTTTGGCGCTTTAAAGATAGTAAATTATTTTTCTTGTAAGACACCATAAAAGATATTTGAAGATTGAGACATCATTATTAATGGTTGTCGATCATTACTCAGTACTTAATATTTGTTGAGTTAATATTCAATCACAATAATCATATATGAAAAAAATATATGGAATACCTAAAATGCATTGTTGAAATTGACCGTAGAGAGTTAAATCTATCTATTGTAAGGTGTTTGAAGACTGAGACGTCACTATTAATGGTTGTCGACCATTACTCTGTACTTAATATTTGTTGGATTAAAATTCAATCACAATAATGATATATGAGAGAGAGAGAGGAGAAGGAGGAGGTACACAAACACACACAGGGGGAGATAAGTAGTGAAATCTCATCTATATATGCTTGATTCTTCAATGTGAAATGAGATTCTTCGCAAGGTTTATAGCGGAAATGTTGTCTATTATTAATGTCACAACCTCATACTCTTTGCAGCACAATTCCTTCATCAACCTCACCAACCATACAGCTTGGCACGCACACATAGACGTTGTAATATACTTTGCCTCGCAAGAAGAGAGCTCTACATCTGGTTCCTTCTTAGAACACCAATAGATTGGTGTATCAAGAAGTGGATTTTATGTCATCTTTATCTCGACACTAGTTTGATTTAGTATAGCCAAGCAATTTGCAGCTTCTACCTTTATCTATTTTAGGAAATAAAATTTCATAGTTAGTCTAAACTTTTCACTTATCTCAGAATTCTTTTGACTACTGTCAAGTGTGACGCCTTTGGCTTTCCCGTGAATTTACTCATTATGCCACGCTATATGCCAAGTATGGTATCGTATTGCATAAGTACAACAAAGATCCAATCAACCTCCTGTAATGACACCCGCAGTTTTGGCTCTGCAGAGGTAATGGCCGCATTACAATGTCCCATTTCAAACTTCTTCAATATCTTAAGTGCACACCTCCTTTGATGCATAATTAGTCCCTTTTTGTACTTGTGAAACTCAATGTCAAAGAAATATATCATGAGACCAAGGTCACTCACCTCAAACTCCTTTATTAGACCATCCTTGAATTCAGCAGCGTAGCCTTCATTGTTATTCGTAATCAGTAAATCATCAATTTAGAGACATATGTAGATCACTCCTTTACTTGTATGTTTCTTCATATAAACACCATGTTTAGATACACATTTACCAAATCCTATTTCCTTTTGAAATCCATCAATTCTCTTGTTCCAAACTCTTGATGCTATCTTTAGTCCATACAATACATTCCTCGGTCTATAGAACTTGGACTCCTAATTTTTTACTATAAAACAAGTGGTATGCCATATACGCTTCCTCTTCTAATTGACCATTCAAAAAATCACATTTGACATCTATTTGGTATATGAAACAATTCTTGTTATTTTCAATACCAATAATTAGCCTTAAGGTTTCAATTCTAGCCACCAGTGCAAATAATTTTTCAAATTTTATGTCTTCTGTTTGTAAAAAATCTTTGCAACTAATCTAGTCTTATGTTGGATTATTTCACCTTTGGAATATTTGTCTTCACTTTGTACACCCATCTTATTCTAATTGGCTTATTTCTTTAAGGTATATCAACTAGTTACTATGTCTTATTTTTCTCAATTGACTCCATATCCTCCTTCATTGCACATATTCATTTTGGATCACTCAAGACCTCCTCTATTTTCATAGGTTCGGATTCATCCATGAGCGCAAAATGGACTAGATCACCCTTGTTGTTTACTTTATTATCCGAAAACATCTCATTGTCTTGTAATCTTGTAGGCATTCCTCTTTGTCTTGTTAATCTTTTCACATTTTCTCCAGCATAGACTTCTCCAGCTGTAGTTTCTAGCCATCAAAACACTGTAGAAATAGTTTCAGCATTGTTGTAACCAAGTTACATGTGGCTGGTAATCGGTTTCTACATGTTGTCAGATCCTTAATTAATCAAAAATCATGTCCCTATTAATTACAACTCTCTTGTTAATTGCGCCATAAAGTTTGTAGTCACATGTTGAGTGATATCCAACAAGTATCATTTGTTCTCCCCTGTCATCTAGATTCTTTCTAAGCTAAATCGAAACATGTCTATGTGTCACGTTGCTTGTAGCAATATAGTATCTAATATATCAAATATATCACATTGCTTTTAAGTGAAAAATATATTGGAAACTTACGTTATATATATATATATATATATATATATATATATATATATATATATATATATATATATATATATATATATATATATATATATATATATATATATATATATATATAATTTTTTTTTAGTAATAATCATGTTTTGAAAAAAAAATACACAAATAATCATGTTTCAGAAAACGTTA